ACTACAGGGCAGACACTACAATGAGAGACTGCAGGACCTGAATCTGTTCAGCCTTCACAAGAGAAGGCTGAGGGGGGGACCTGGTGACAGTCTATAAACTCACTAGGGGGGACCAGAAGGGTTTGGGGAGACCTTGTTTCCCCTAGCGCCCCCTGGCATAACAAGGAATAACGGCCACAAGTTGTTGGAGAGTAGGTTTAGATTAGACATCCATAAGAACTACTTCATGGTCAGGGCGGCTAGGATCTGGAACCAACTTCCAAGGGAAGTGGTGCTGGCTTCTACCCTGGGGGTCTTTAAGAGGAGGCTTGATGCCTACCTAGCTGGGATCATCTGAGGCCAGTTTTTTCTCCTGCCCTGGCAGGGGGTTGGACTTGAAGATCTATAAGGTCCCTTCCGACCCTACTTCTATGATTCTATGATTCACTGCCCTACTATTCTTCAGTAGCCTGCTTCTGTTCTTGCCTGTTGGTCGGATCAATATAGTGATGCCCGCTGCACAAGTCAGGGGACCCTCAGCATTACCATCTCAAGATTATTTGGCAGGAAGAAGGTTCTTGCCCACCCACAGCCTTCTTACCATTACAACAGAGCCAGGATTTTCCTGCAGTGAAATCCACCCCAGATGCTATTTTCTGCATAATTACTACCAACTTCAGCTACTACAGCACCCAATGCTGGGAAACTCATTGCACTGACCTGGAGCAGTTTCCACAATCAATGATGGCATTATAGGTGGCATTGACGGTACTGAAATAGTACTGGGTCTGCTTGGTGATGCAGCTGGTCTCTCTGGATTCCATGCTGTCTGCTGTAACATCCTCTGTGACCGGAAACAAGAGACACTGTTGGCTGCTCACTTCCATGCCACTGAAATGAAATACACTTCTCTAATCCTGCCTGATCCCATGGATAGGACTCAGCCAGCCTTTCCTGACTTAAAAATACCTTCCACAGATGTGAAGACTAGGGGTACATTGACAGAGATTTTGGGAGCCGATACCTACAATTGATTTTTAAGGAGGCTGATACGATCCGATTTCTGATACCAGCTCTACAGCTTGAAGAACTGCATCCAGCTGGTATATCTGTTGTGGTGGAAGGGGAGAGAGAGAGAGAGAGAGAGAGAGAGAGAGAGAGAGAGAGAGAGAGAGAGAGAGAGAG